CATGTTGGAGGGATGTTTGCTCCCAATCTTCGCCGATTCTTCTGGGTTGTTCTGATCCAGAATTTGGAGTAGTCGATAAAGAGGAGGACTGGGTTAAATTCCACAGCATAGGCGAACTGGAACAAGATTTACCTGCAATTGTTGTACAAAATTCCGTCCAAGGTTTCAATTTTTGCCTGTTACAGTGCAAAATTGACGGGCACATGGTCAAACAAGCACTTGTCTTTCCGCCGATTTTAAAACACGCAATTCAGAATGCTCCGCTCTCAAAAAAGAAAATAAATGTGAACATTATTCTCGAGGACTCGGTTTCAAGATCTCATTTTTACCGCTCCATGCCGCGTTCGGTCCAGTCCTTGCGAGATATTTACAGAGATGCTAGTTTTCAAGCAACGGTTCTTGATTTTGAGCTCGTTCAGAGTTATGCAGCGTTCACTCTTCCAAACGTTCAATTCATGATGGCTGGGAAATCACTGAAAGGTAGGAGAAAAGTACCGAAGCGTGTGAATGGTATAAGCATTCTCACCGAAAAATTCAAACGCTTTGGTTATCAAACGTTAATGCACGAAGACCTTTGCTGGTATGATCAATGGGGAAGCTTTTTGTCACCTGAGTACAAGAAAAAGGTAAAACCTTTCACGGAGGGGTTTAAAAGCATTTTCGAGGAATTCAAACAAAGCACTGATCGATATGTGGATAATAAAGCCATGACTTTGCTATCCTGTGAAATATTAAAGGAATTTGGGACTTCAAATCCTTTTGAAGGAAAATCCACAAGGAACTATTGTTGGGATGGACGTTCTCTAAGCGAGTATCTCCTTTTCTACGTGAGACGATTCATATCACTGGTTGATCGAAAACCAGAAGTAGCACCGGCGTTAGTTTACACGCATCTTAACACCGGACACGAACCCTCTGGCAAACGCATACGAGCAGACGACAATATTTTGTCCAAGTTTCTCGAAGAAATGGCACGGAGTGATAATACTTTGACCCTTCTTATATCAGATCATGGTGGAAAGACGTCAGACTACGCCATTGAGACTTTACCTGGTAGTTTAGAAGTGTACAGTCCTATGATGTTTATGATAATTCCTCACAAAGTTGCTCAGCGCCTTGGAAAGGATCGCATGAATGCGCTCAAGTTAAATCAGAAACGTTTAGTAACGTTTGCAGATTTGCATCATACACTTAACTCTATTGCAGCCTTGATAGACGATGGACGTACGCAGGACAAGGTCAGCGGCTTACTACAGCCAATTCCACTGACTCGCACATGCGCAGATGTAAAGGATATATCCCCCGAAGGCATGTGTCGGTGTGAAGGCTGGAGAAAGTTTTTGAGTCCAAATTCCATGGAGGTCATTTGGCTGGCAGAGTTTGCTCTTGGACAAATTAATAACATGATACAAATGCAATACTCGCAAGGATTTGCTGGAAATAAATCAAAGCGCAAAAACGGATTTGGCCGATGCGCCATGTTTGTTGGTAAATCCATTGAGCGACCGAGACAGGAACTTCTTGGCAAAGACTACATCACCACCTTGGTTTTAGTTGTTGAACCAGCTTATGGTGTGGAATCGAAGGAACGATTCGAAGTTCAGCTAAAACACTCCAGCGTTCGAGAACACAACATCACCTTCATCAAATACACGCGGCTTAGTTTCTATAGCAGGTATAAAGGCTGCGTCGACAAAAATGTGGACCTCAATCTTTGCGCATGCGCAATGCATCACTCAAATAAACATAGGCGATCGGACATCGAGGATCTGATTCGCGCCCGCCATTTTGTAGACTTCGGAATGACAAGTAGTACACGCTCTCTCGCATCCAAGTGTTTATTGGTCACGATAAGGCATTTAAAGCGGCTTGTCGTTTCCAAAAAGCAAACTCGTGTCATGAGCATTGAAGTTGCGAATGTGTGTGAAAATGAAACGATGAGAGTGAAACTGGGAGGTATCCACAGAGTAACACGATTTTCACGTGCACTTCCCATCTCTATAGTCTTGATGCCGAGGACGATTCAGTTTTCGCTCTCAGTTCTCAATGAATGGAAGTACGGTTTATTTAAACCGGTTTTTTTGCACTCTCGGCATGGCAGTAAAAGGGAAAAAGGTCACATCACAAGAACCTCCTGAATACTTTTTAACGTTAATGCATTATTGAAACATTGTCGAATCGGGCTTTAGGAACATTTTTATTTACAGTTCCATTGTATTTATAGATTGGTGTAATAAATGTGAACAGAATAATTTGAGAGAAACAGTCATCATCTCAAGCTGATAGGCCCAAACGGTGCTAACAGACCGTGAACCGGAGCTGCTCTCGCGAACCCAAAGGTTTTCTGGTGATCACATTGGAAAAATACCAAATATTTGCCGTAAATAATAGGCCAAAATTTTAACCGTTAGCCGTATAAGCTATTACCCCACTGAGACCCTCCAATACGAACGTAGTAACACTATCAGTTAATTCCTAGGTTCCCTTTACTGAAGAGAAAAGAAACCCTGAAAAAAGTCCGATCAACTCGTGCTCAGATCGCACCGTGTAACTGTAACTGAAATGTAGAGGACAAACGCTTGGCCGTGAAAGGTCTGGGTACGAGACTAGAGTCTGTTAGCGATGCATAATTAAAAAGATATTTTGTGACGACAACGTCGATAAATTTTTAATAACTCTTCAATCACGGCCTATTTTTTAAGAATCGTAATGACTGAAAACTGTTAGAGGTAAATTTTCTAACACTCGTCGTTTGGTAGGTTAATTCTTTTTTTTTCACTTTCTTCACAAATTGATACAATGGGGACTAGCTTCATCTGACAAGGAAAACTAGAGTCTCCGCTTGTTCAACGATAAAAATAGAACTATATTTAATCTGAAATATTGTAAGGGTTTCCATATATGGGTGTTGGGAAAAAGAAGGGAAATATTATATTACTTTGAGCCATTCGATACAAAAATTATAATAAGACAGGTTGATTATTTCTTATTGCTTTTGTCGATCTCATCTAAGTACAATTTCTTTCACCTTTTTCTTATTGCGGTTGTGAATTTGGTACGAAAACAGTTGCTCCGTTTCTACGGTGATCGGTGATTAGTTGTTCTATTTTGCGATAAGCTATGTTTTTAATTATGTCAATTTTCTAGTTGTAAAATTAACCTTGCACAGGAATTCCTGGAAACTCCTGCTTCTTATACTATTGATTACTATCAGACTGGTTTTTTTGGGTCAAATTCTAAAGTCAAATTCACGATTCCAGAATATTTCTTGAATTTTAAGTTAACACCTTCAACACCTCTTTTTAAAAAAAAGGTGACTATGATTGTAAATAGCTTATGCTTTTTCATCTCCGCACTGAATTTGTAATTATATAACATGCGAATAACACGTAGTTTTCTCAGGGGCGGTACCTTAAGTACGCCCCTTCTTCTCCGAATTTTGTGTTTACTCTGTTGTTATATAACAATCTTCTAAGGCTATTTTCTCGTAAACTATCTTTTCAAGCGTAATTTCAATTCTGCCAGTAGGTTAATTATAATTTTTATATTATCAATCTTGTCTTTGTTCTGGCCGATCTGAACCGTAAAATTAAGAAATTTAAGGTAGAAGACGATCTTGTGATTGCGTAAACAATTCGAAGGTGCATACTTAGTATACAGGAACTGTCGTACGTACTCTAACGTGATTCGCTGGCTGAAATGGAGCGATCGCGATGTAAGAAGATTAACAGCTTAGAAGTGTCATCTTTGGTGTCACCTTTATAAGCTGGTGTACAGCATCTTTCAATCAGAGAATATAGCAAGGCAGAACAGTGTGGACTTATGTCCAAAGAAATGGGTAATAAAGAAAGTTCAACCGAGTGTTAGAGAGAAATTCTTCTAACACGCTTATAAAGGTGACATTGCGGATGACATTTCTAAGCCGTCAATCTTCTTGTGTCGTCATCGTACCATCTCAACTAGCGAATGACGCTTGACTACGTATTATAGTTCCCACATTTTGAGTATGCACCTTAGGGTTGTTTACGCAGTTACAAAATCCAAAATATCTTTACGGTTGAGATCGGCCAGAACAGAAACGAGATCGATAATATAAAAATTACAAATAACCTTGGCTCAGAATATTATTTATACCTGAAAGGGTATCTTAAGAGAAAACCACCTTTAAAAAGTTAAAGAAGAAAGGCGCTCACAAGTACCGCCCCAAATTGCTTTTGGTCGCGGAACATGAGGGGTATCACCTGTTTACACCTTGAATTACCTCTGGGAACAAGAAGGTGTCGAACGCGACCTATTACCAGAGAGATTTACTCTTCCTGAACCAACAAATTAACTTACTTAAGAACATGGCTTATTACGAGTTCCATGTCAACCTCACGATCACAGCGAGGAAAACGTGATTAAACTCACTAGGAGAACGTGGCCAAACTCACCAGAAGAACGTGACTAAACTCAACCTTTAAGATAAGACCACCGAGAAGGAGTACGAAGTAATCAACCTGCCCTTTTTATAATTTGAATTAAATGACTTAGAATAATATAATATTTCCATTCCTTTTTTTTCCGACACCAATACAAGGAAACCCTTACGATATTGTAGATTAACTATAATTGTAATTTTATCATTTAACAAAACAAACTACTGACATCGTAATGCCTGAAAACAAACTACTGACATAGACTTCAGAGGCCTCTGATACTTTTCTCCAACGTAGACCCTCAATCACACCGAACCCAGAAAATCTCTAATAGAAACTTAGTGTGTTCTTGACACTTGGTGTAACAATTTAGCGAACCCCTCTCTAGGGGACTCGTCATTATTTATCGAGGATCTTGTTTGAATCACAATAAAATTTACAGGTCCTTCTGTAAACTATCTTAATGACGACTTCCTCTCCCTCCCCACCCTCCCCCCCGTTTTCCCTGATCCCCCACAAGTGATAAATAATGACTACATGGCCCCTGGAGCGAGGCATATTTGAGCGTGCTTCAAAGACATATCATTTGCACTTAATTTCGTTATATGATTTAAGTTGGTTGATTAAATCTCTAGATACCCTCTTTACATCAGAAGGGTTTGTCTCGTCTCCCTCGATGTCACTTAAAAATATTTTAGGGATAGGATACAATGTCGAATACTTTGTACCAATTTCTTCAATAAGGTCATCCGTAACTGGCAGTTCTTGGACCTTCCCTCGTAGGTTTTCCCATCGTTTAACATTCCGGAAAGCCACACCCACCAAAATTGTATAACAGAGCCCTCCAACGACGAGTACGGACCCTCCTCCAACTAAAACCCAGACAACAGTGGGTAGTCTATCCGGGCTACCCCATCCTATAACTCCGCCGAGTATTAATCCAAGGAGAATGGCGGCCAGGAGAGCTTTTCCTGCGTGTATGACAATTTTTTCTCTCCTTGTCCTGCTGGAATTGTGACGGTCTTCCACTCTGGCACGAATCCATTTCATTGTACCTTTCAGCTTTTCATATCTGGAAAACGTCGATGTATGATGAATGAAACCAGAAGAAGGATAACAGAGGGAAAAGATAACTCAGAGCTAACAATTTCAAATGTGAAGATTTATGTGCTGAAAAGTAGATAACACCAGATGGCTGAAATACAGCCTCAGAGAATTTTTCGTTTACCAGATTATTTGACTTCCTTGCTTTTTCAGTATTTTCAGTTTGCATTGCCATGTTTTGTAATTCAACTTAGCGGCGTAGCTAAAGTAGCATCTTCACCAAATAATATTTTCAGGCATCTTTATGATTAATCAGTACCTGATGGCTATATAGAGTCCAGTACCTGCTATACCTGTCAGGTTAAATTGTGTCAGCACTTGAATTAGAGAGTTAATGTGTTATTCTTTGCATTAAATTTAGAACATTTTCTTTGAATATATATACAAACATATGTTGTGAACCTGTGGAGCTGAGTTAAATGACTAAAGTTGAGCGGTTGAAGGAATACATTTTCGTTGTCATCCAGGAAAACGGACTTTCATTTGCTCATTGGTTTCATATGTACGAGTGCTATTGTCATCTCTAATATGAATAAAAGCTATGACTGGTTATAAGCTCTTTCAAAGAACGTCTTAAGTGCGAAATTCTTAGCAAGCTGTTGTCTTTTTATTCAATTCGTTCACCGAAAATACCTCGGTGACGTTTCCTGCAGGCCTTTGCACGGAAAGACCCTTCTCTAAAAGGATAAAGATTGTTCCATGTCTGCTATTCAGTGAAACAATGAACTTAATAATTATCAACCCGCCGAGGCATGCGAACTTTAAGGGAATGTCATCTTCGCGTGAGAGCAATGGCAGATTAATCCGCTATGATTTTTTACAAACCTCTCTAATAAATCTGAAAAGGCCTTGTTCAGCTTCGAGGCGCTTTCTTTGATCAACTCTAATAAGCTCCCATCTGGTTCATTGTTTTGGAACTGTTCAAAAAACTCCTCTGTTTCATTGACTTTCTCTCGGGTTTCTTTCTCCAAATCTTCCCATTTTTCCATTTTCTTTATATCACCAAGAACCTTATTGTACTCCTCTTTTTCTTTAGTCTCCAGGTCTCTCACTTTTTGATACACATTGGTAGAGAAGTCAAGCAGAGCGTCGCAACATTTACAAGAATTGTCCGTCATTTTGCGCGAACTATCCGCTTTCAAATTTAAAAGTATCTGTCAATTTGAACCACCAATAAATGCTATTTCTAACGAATGAGCTTGCACGAGACATTGCACGGCCTGAGTACCATACCGGTGCATCATGGGCAGGAAACCGGTGGTCTACATCAATTTTACAGAATGCCGTTGGGGAATCAAAACGTGCTAACGATTCGGTGGAACAGCAATTGAAAGAGATAAAGAAGCTCAAGTTCAGCGAACCCCACAAGTTCCAAAGGAAAGTTAACGAAGACCAGTATAAGTTCAACCTTAAATTGACTGAAACGACTGACAACGCAAAGTAAAGAACGAATTGGAAGAAGGTGAGAGGTTAATTCTAGAAAGCCCAGATTCATGTTGTTCTTCCGATTTTCCTAGTCAGCCCACAGCACGAGGAAGGCTTAAAAACTGCATTGAAAATGGCTGTTCTTTTAGTGTTTCACAGTCTATTCTGAATGTCAACAGCGAAGGTTACAAGATTCCTTTTTTTGAAATTCCTACACCTTTTATCAAGCCTTACAAGACTTAAGCGCCATCGAACAGTGATTTGTGTCCTTAGCTGTTACGAACTGCTTCGTGCCAACCTGATTAAAGAGTTGTTTCGCGTACCTGAAATTATCAACCCGCTTTCTGTAGCGAGTAGTTCCAGCAAACAATAGTAAATTTTGGACTTAAGACACGTTAACAATTTCGTCTTTGAACAGAAGTTTAAATGTGGGGACTTTGAGCGTCTCCATTCAGATTTTTGACAAGGGCTTTCACCAATTCAAATTCAATCTCAAGTCAGGATACCATCATATAGAGATTTTTCCGCGCATCGCAAGTTTCTCTCATTTGCCTGGGATTTTGGAACTGGATCTCTCAGCCATTTTCAGTTTTGCGTGCTTCTCTTCGGTCTGTCTTCATCCCCTTTCATTTTCACTAAAAAAGAAAAGAGTTTGCGATCCGTAAGTTTGTTAGAAAATAGTTTTTCCGCCGACCCTTTTCACGTAGTTCTTCATGTTTACAGCATGTCATGGAACAGTCCCAGTCTAATAGCATGATTGACTCCGCCTTTTGCGCCATCAAATGGGCCCATGATATGACCGGTGACCCCTCCCCGACTGACAACCCTGCAGTCGAGGCTGTCAGGTTAGCATCCATAAGAATCCCTGGCACTGCCACTGTCAACCGTAAGGAACCTATTTCTTGCGACTTAATCCAAAAAAATCGTAAGCCACTCTTACTTGGATAACCCGGTTGATTTACGGAATGTTTCTAGGAAGGTTATTGTTTTACTGCCTCTTGTAGGTTTGATGGCCTTTTAAGAGTAAGAATAGCAATATTTCTTTTAGAGAAGGTCTCATGGTTTTTCGAGTGCATAAAAGTAAGAGCGACCAGCACGACGCCACCAACGAAATGATGATTTCCGAGCTATCTAGCCTTGCGTATCCTGTTAAATCCTCAAGTTACATTGAAATGAAGAGCTCAAGCTAAGAACACTACTGAAACTAAGGAAAATTTCCTGAAAAATTGGCCCCACGATCTCAACCCATGAAACCTCATTTTCAAGATCATTTTCAAGTGAAAAGGCTTCTGCAAGTTGGTCCTTGCAGACAAACCAATGAGCTATAGCTGTATGCGGGATGCACTGAGAATGGACTTGAGGAACATCGGCGTCGACCCTTCTAATCACAGGTTTCACTCGTTTGGGAGGAGCCTTTTTTTCTCTATGGTGTTTTGGGTTGGTTCTTGCTAGGCCATCCCCAAATAAACTTATTTGTCAACATGTTTTGCTGCTTGTGTGCTGTCTAGTGAAGACTAAATATTGATCAAGAGTGATACACGCTGAGGATCTCATACTGTCTCCAAACAGAAATGCGTTTGGGGCCATAAATGATGTACATTGTTATACATTGCTTCTGGTCATAAAAGCCTCTTAATGTGTAGCCTACGTGTTGCCGTACCCTCCCCCGAAGGTGAAACGGAAGGGAGGGAATGTCTACGAAAACCTGACAGAAACCGGGTCAGTCTGATTTTTTTCTTTGTTTGTGCAAAATAATGTCACTTGATAATATTTTCCGCGAAGTGGCACGTGCTAATGTGAAAAAAATCGAGGTAAATTATGACATTGAAGTGAATTAATTTCCCTCTTAAATCGGGTAAATTTGCAATTCAATGACAGCCGTCAAGTGTATGTACTTTACTTTAAATATTTAACACAGGATTACGAGCGATTTTTGGTGAAGAATAAGAAGAAAACGACGTTCGTTGTGAGCATTGCGCTTACGGAGCTAGGTTTTTAATGTCCGTGCGGTCTATGAGTACATTTGTAGATGGTGCCAAAAGTTGGATCATTTACAGCAGAATCTTGAGGATTTACAGATTCCCCGGGGGGGGGGGGGAATTTCGCTCACGATGGCGGCGCCACCGAGGACGTGGCAACGCAGATCTCATGAGCAGAACAGTAACTCAGCACGTGCGTTTGAAACCTTTCTACATTTCTTAGCTGTCCTCTGCAAATCATCAACTTCAACACTCCAAAATTTTTTTTAATCGATGTCTCCCAGCTGACTGCAGGTGAATGATCATGCTGAATCTACGACACTTGGGTGATCATTACAGCGGTATTATAATTTATTGGATGTACACACTATGGTTACATCGATGGTTTGTGAGGAGTGAGAGGAGAGAAACACTGTTGGCTCAGTTGTGTTTCACATTGTACTGTTAAACTTTTCTAAAGGATGCTACAAGATTCATATATTGTCCGACAGATACTAGAAAACGATCCAAAACAATACCTTTCTATCAAATCTCCAAACAACGATAATTCGTTTCTCAGATCTTTGATCATCATCAATTAGCCCTTTTACACCGAGGGGTGACCAAAGAGGAATTTCTCCTCACAATACCGATACATTTCCTTTTAAAACAAACGTAATGAGAAAAAAGAGAAACATCAACTAGAGGATTGGGTTCTGTAGCTCCTTCTAGATTAATCTCGCTTTGCAAACTGAAAATTCGCCCATGGTCGCTTTGTTTACCCTGTTTATGATACATGATCAACCAGAATACAAAATAATTTGCGTCATCACTTTTCACCACGAGTGTACCGGCAACTGACCCCGATCGACTAACGACGGAAATAAATGAGGACAGAGTTTATCTAAAGTGCACATGAAACAATTAAAGAAGTGGAACGAAACTGACCAAGTTATTAGAAATACAGCCCAGAGACAATACCACGACAATAGGAACTTGTTTTGAAAATACAAGACTGTTTGTATAGCAAGAATATCGAATGGGATGTCCATCATGCTTATGCTCTACCATTAGTCATATTTTCTAGAAGAACGTTAAAAGTTGCCAAAACTTTTAGACAATAAATTTATTCTTGTAATGCTAAAATTATATCTTATCAGCTACATTTTGCGCTAATAAATGCCTTGGTTGAACATAGTTGAAGGCAGTTACACTCATGCAATACCTGGGCATGTTGACGTAAAAATCTAGCCACGACTACACAACTGTAACGAATACTATATTAACGATGAGTTTGGGCATTTCAAGAAAAATGACAACACAATAATTTTTCGGGGGAGAGGGGGGAGAGGGGAGAGAAGAATTCGATTAAAGTTAACTTTCGTAGCAGTTTGTCACACTTAAGAGACTTTAAAAAAATTCCCTAGAACACAACTACGTGTAGAACAACCAGTACGATAAACACGGCTGGATAAATTAAGTTCCACATTTTTTTCAGCCAGGGGGATTGCTTTGTAATGCAGAGGGTTTAAACGGTAGCTAATATCCTAGCTTTGTGATCTTGAGCGAGATCTTGTCGGTGTTTGTCTGGGTGATCTAGTGGGTGGAGATTTCCTCTTTGGAGACCCAGATCGCGAGCGTGACTTCGAGCGGCGATATGACTGCCTTCTCTTATTGCGTGACTTCGATGAAGGTGAGCGTGACCTGGAACGAGATCGTGATCGTGAACGGCTCCTGAAAAACAGAACGTTTGATTATTTTAAAATGAATTTATTAACCCACATCAACGACTATCTTAGCACTGGGACCTCCTGATAGAGAAAGATATATAATTGTACCCTTAACATCTTTCTTTTCCATTTTCTACGCTCCTTAGAGGGAGATTAACACTTTTCAAAGATACCTAACAGTATCAGTAGCAAAACTTAAAACAAAAGTCACATGCACCTACGTCTAGTTGTTTTTTTTCTATGAACATTGTCTTTGTTTCAGCTGATTAAACCAAGAAATGAATACTCAAAAGAGCCGAAACACATACTATGCCAGGAAAAGTTTATAATTACGTTGTGCTAAAATCATCGAGTATAGTAGCATGAAAATTTGTCTAATTACCTTCTTCTTCTCCTTCTCTCTCTACTCCGGCTACGACTTCGACTTCGGCGGCGGTGGCTCCTGGTGGAAACAGAAAGAAAACAAAACATTGTTAAAAAGAGAGAGCAATGTTGGTATTTTGGACCTTGTAGATGGTTTTCAATTGAGTGTCGAACGTACTCGGGACGGCCACGGCTTTGCCTTGTGATTGGTTGGGAAAAAAAAGCTCACAAAACTCTTGGCCAATCAGTTGTTACACTAAACTGGTCACTCCCGTTTTCCCGCTCTTTTTTTCTTAACGGCTCCTGTAACACTGCTACACTGTAGTTGGTTGTTGTGTTTAGTTTTTTTGTGCGACATCAAATCGAAATATGCCACTCTACAGCTCGACTAATTGACACGGGGTTTTGTTCAAGTGTAGTTTACGGTGAAGTAGTCTCAATACATTTTTTTCCACACATAATTTGACTCAAAAAAAAAAAAAAAAGAGATTCAGAAAGCGACGTACGTACGACGTTCACGATAACAATGTACACTGATCCTTTCACCTCCTAAATCAACTACCAAAGTCACCCTTTTTTGTTGGGAAAAAAAAATTCACTACACACGCCAATTTTTTTATAAATACTGTTGCCAAAGTGCGCGGAACACCAATCTCGCCCAGGTACTCAACAGAGTTATCTCAGAAAACAAGTAAAGTGAACACGGTACTTGGCAATTAAACAGCTCTAAAAGTAATAAAACATACCTTTCTCTATCCCGTTCTCTTTCTCCTCTCATTCTTTTCTCACGATCGCGTTTCTCTTGTTCCCGCTCGCGCTCTCTTTCTTCGCGTCGACGTATCCTCTCCATTTCTCTTTCAGATCGCTTTTTTGCCACTCCATCCTACAAAACAAACCGATACAATGCTAAATTAGACTAGATCCGCTTTGAAATTATCCCCTCATCTTACCATAGCTGTTTCCATGTAAATTCGTTGAAAGAATTTGAAGTTACATCAAGGTTCATGTGGCACCCTTTGCTTACACTTAGGTAAGTGCTTGTTCAGGTGACATAGGGAGAGGTTTTAGGTAAATCAGCTTAGTTTTAAGAGCTTTTACAGTTAGTGAATCATGAGATTAAGACTTTTTTAATACCTGTAGTTCCTTCAGCCTGTCGCGGATTTTGATAAAACCCATGTGAAGTTTCCCTCCAAAGTGATCAGCTAACCTAGTTGAATACAAAATTTCCAACAAATATTTATCAGCAAAGAAATTCCTCTGACATCGGTTAAAATCTACAGCCCAAAAGAACAGTTTAGTAAATAAAAAATCTCAGGACTAAGGACCACACAAAACAAAACAATCCACACACCATTATTCAATTTTAACACTATACATGTATGTACAGCCTAAGAGTAACTGGTTTGATTCCAGGGGTAACAGTTGAGAGTGTGGCCTGATCACCAGAGTGGAATTTGCCCTGAAAAGGACTGCTGTTGACCTTTCCACAGCCGCAATTAAGCCGTCATCATCATCATAATAATACTATAATAATAATACTATAATAATACTTATATAGCGCCATTTCTATCGCTATCCAATAGCGCTTTACAATGACTGAAATAAACAAAAAGCGCTAGGAAATCCTAACTGGCACGAGGCAGACCATTTGGCTATTTACACAGCACAGCCGAGTTGAACTCGGGGAGACCAAGAAAAAATCCAGTAAATGGCAGGGAAGAGGACTTGAACACGGGACCACCAGATCACAAGTCCAATACCCTAACCACTCGGCCACTTGGCCTCCTATACAGCTCCTTCTCATCAGAGTCAAATGAAACACAATTTCCAGCAGGTTAGATGGTCAACTTGGCTTGCATGGGAACAGAGAACCTTTGACTTAAATGGCAACTTTTCCTCAGGTTGTCAAAAGCATCAGTCACTTCTTCCTATCTAAGACTACTGATCTGAATGAAATCAGACCAAACGATCCTAGGTCGAGTCTGTAGACCACTGTTATGGTGGACAGCTGTACAGACACATCTTCGACATTTTTAACATCTTACCAAAATTTCCAAAATTAGAGATACAAGACACAAACTCTTGAAATTTTTGATAAAATTCCAAGCGCAAAATTTTCAGTTACACATCATCCAAAGTTCTAAACTCACCTCCGGTCATTGTCATACAAGCTGAGGTATGCCGCACACACCTCACAAACCCTCAGCTTTTGTTGCTGAAGAGAAGATGAAGGAAGTGACTCTCGATATATATCCTATAATGAAATAGAACAGAGACCATCAGGTAACTGAATCCTTTTATTTAAAAAATGAGTAACAGTATCAAAGCAGTTTCCTCAGAGTTATCATTGCTCATTCCTCAGGCACATAAATATAATATATATATATACCTCTGCCATCTTTTTCTTTACTTTCAAGTCTTCCACCTCCTTCATGAGTTCCATTGACTCTTCAACCTTACCTTCAGCTCCTACCAAAATGAACACCCAAAGCTTCAAAATAATATCATGCCCTATAACATGCAAGGAAAGTCAGCAAGCTTCCCTTAACCCTTAAGTCCCTAAGAGTGATAAGCATCTAATTTCTCCCAACAGTACAACCTCTGAATCAAACATTAAGGTTGCAAGAATGAAGGAAATGGTCATGAACTCAAGAAGCTCTTGATTGTTAGACAAACTCTCCTTGCAAGTACCTTAAGAAATGTGTAGAGAACATTTTGGAGAAAATGCATGATGATAGTAGAATGTACAGGGTTAAATGTTGAATACCATGATCAAAAGGAAGAGGGAAGATGAAAACTAAGTGCTAATTCTCTTTAGTGAACTGGCACTGCTATTTCTTGTTCAATATACAATTAGATAACAGATGAACATACCCACAGTCTCTGCTTCTGCAAGTTTTTTCCCAATCTGTTCAGCCAGGTCATGAACTGCTTGGGCCTATAAAAACAAATCATTAATACCTATACTCATGACAACACAATTTAAACAATTCTCTTATGAAAATTACATAGCAGTTCAAATAACTAACTGTTTGGTTGTTCACTCACAGACAAAAAAGGCTAAAAGGACTCACCAATACAGAGAAGACATGGGAGACGGCCTACCATTTATCGTCATTATCAAGAAGACTAGGATGTCTAGCTATTTGCATAAGTCATAGCAAAGGCAGCACAAACTCAGTTATTTTAAGACCATGAGATTGGTATCTCTTTCAAGTTTCAAGTTTCACGAGGCAAAAGAAATTGATGAAAAAGTATCATTTTTATTTGTGTGTGTTAATGACAAATCAAAAAGGTCATTTTTAAATGGATTTTTACAGTTTCTGGAGCCAGGTTTTATTTAAAAGCAGAATTACAAGAAGCCAACTCTGATTCAACAAGTAGTGACAATGTACATTTCATACATGTGGTCTTCTTCTTTACAACAACATACATGCAAATGTGCATGTGCATGTGCATGTGCATGTACACAGGTGCACCTAATGGCACAATGTAGGCACAGTCTTTGTGAGATTTTTCAATACTTATTTAAAAAATATGTGAAAGGCATGGGAAAAAGCCTTCCAAACAATACTTTCATAGGCTTTACAACTACTTCTTGGAGTATGTGTTGAAACTTGTACTTATGCATGCCCACACTGACTAAAGTGAATTTACTTGAACCCAATTTACAACTAAACTGAACACAAATCTGAAGTCAGGCATTCTATAGAGTGCCTGAGCAATTAGCAACACTGGAATTAAACCTGGACAGTGGCTTCAACACCTACCTCAGGGACATTGTCATGATCATCTTGTGTCTCCTCAAGCCTTTTCTTTGCTATTTGGATCTTTCTATCACAGTCCTTGATGAATGACTGAAGGTGTTCCATTTGCTAAGTGGGAAAAAAAAGAAGTAATGAAATAATCACAAAATATTGTATAACTTCACCTTAAGAGAGAGAAAAAACACCTAATTTATCTAAACTCAGAGGTATTTTGTGGTTTATTGTCTCTATTGTCTAAACACTTCTGAGCAAAAATAAAATGCATCAGTGCCACACTTACTGTACTCACAGCCTCTGTTTGGTCTCATCACTTAATGTCCTCTATTTCCATTAGAGAGAGAGTGCATTGCATGAGGAGACCAATTAATGGTTGCAAAAGAGACTATGCTCACCACCATTCCTCTAACAGAAAGTAAATCAAAATGATTTGTCTACAATTGGTTGCCACAAAAATATGTGTTGGAGGAAATGGATTGTGTGCCAAAAGCGAAGCCTCAATGAAATGGAGACAAGAGAGCCGTGACACAACTGAGAAAGAACTCTATTGGACTCTTACAAGCTCATATCGAAAAAGGCACATGCCCAAATAGCCTCAGATACAATGTAGGGCAAAAATCCCAAATGAGGATTTTACATAAGATATATAAGTTCAATCAAAAAGAAAGCAGAGTGTGACCTTGTGGGAGCCCTGGTGAAATTTCACCATAATCCATTCAAAAGCAAGTGATATAAACAAATTAGCCATTGAATTGAAAGCTAAAATGAGTGAGGTCAACAAGCTTCTTGTAAATTTGAGAGCACAAAAAGGCAATGGAGAGGTTGAATCTTGTACATGTGCATTCTCTGTCTCTTCAGAAACAAACAACAAGGGTGAAACAACTCAAAAAAGAAAAAAAGATAAAAAAATTGCAAAAGAAAACAGAATCAAAGGTAGAAGGAAAAAAGATTGAGTCACACAAGCAGCACATCAGTAACCCATCCAATGAACAACTTCCAGGTGAACAAATTCACAGCTGATAAATCTGCCTCAGAAATTACTTTCTCAAACACAAAATGAATGAGAATGAGACCTTCCACCACACCAATACACCAATTTTTATTCAAGTCATCCTCCAAGAAAGGATTAGTGAGTGGAGAGGCCCTACCTTTCCTAAGAACATTTCTCATGCTCCATGTTTTATAAAAATGAACAGATTTTCAAAATATGCTGTAAGAACAGAGGATACCCAGATGAAATTTTGGAGAAATATATCTCTGAAGTTAATTTTACTGGGAGAGAAAGGTCACTCAAAAACAAAGAAAACGTCACACAGAAAAAAATATTGCCTTTTGCAACACAATATAATTTGGCTTAACCTAACCTCAAGAACAAAGTGATGGAGAAATGGCACCTTATTCAAAACCAACTTTGCACAACAGAAATATTTAATTATTCTATAGTTCTTTCCAAGGCTGCATAGTGACTGCTTTTTCACTACATAATATGAATAATGTTGAATCTGTTCCTGGGATGAAGTCATCAGTCAACCCACCTTATCCCCACTGTTTCTTGGTTTTGAACATGGAAGGAACCAATTTTGGGGATCTTTGAACATTCATAAAAGGCTAACTAAAATAGATGCAACATCTATTTTTTTCCACTTTGTTATCAGTAAAACAAAGAAATTTACTTGGGGAAGCTAATGGCACTTAAATCCTTTAACTTCCAGAAGTGATTAACAAGTAGCTACTCCTGATAATATCCATACAATATCCAGCAAACAGGTAATGAGAAAACTCAAACTCATCAGGTAAAAGATATTTCCTTGATTGAACACCAAATTTTTGTAACCAATTTGGGAGTTAAAGGGTTAAATTTAAGTACTTACATCTACATCATAACCATAGTCCCTCTTCTTTGATGCAATCTCAAAATCTGCTTTCAGAGCAGCTTCATGAATCTTGTTGCAGGGACCAAGATCCATTTTCTGGAATGAAAAGTAAGTTTTAACATACATTATTCTGAAACTTAATGACAATTACCAAGAGATTTAAGTACACTAGATAACCAATCTAGTAATCCTGTTACAGGGACCTAGATCCATTTTCTGGAATGAAAAGTAAGTTTAGAGATACAGTATTCTGATAGTTAATGCCAATTACCTGGAGATTTAAGTACACTGGATAACCAAAAAAATTATGGTACGAGGTTGTCTAATGGAAAACAAAATTTAAAAAAGGTTCACTTAGAAATGGCTTTTTGCACAGTTTAACTTACAGTTTTGAAGATCCACTGCTCTTCATTGAATAGCATGAAAAGGATACAACAAGACTTAATCAGGGAAGCCACTACAAGAAACAATCCTACTTGTACACTGCAGTATTGAGTAATAGGGTTTTAACATATCTTCTTGAGCTTGATATTGTAAGGAGAAATTCTGTCCTGTAACAACATGTACATGTATACATGTAGAGTGTAACTTACACTAGTGAAAAGCTTTTGAAAGCCTTTCACAATATCTTCGTCATATGATTTTTGAATGTGAGGTGATCTTAGCAGTAATTATTTTCTTAACAAGGTGACATTATCTCCTTAACCAGGAAAACTATACATACTGAGCAGGGATTTGAATTTTGTGGAAAACATACTGCAATAAATTGACAACCTTTAGCCTTTCATACAAAAAATTCCCAGTTTGCCATGATTCTATTATTTATTATTATTATTATTATATTTTTTTTTTTTTTTTGCCCAGTAACACAATATACCTCATAATAAACCAAACAAAACAAAGGAAATGCTAAAAAGAGACACCACTAAGTGGAATCTATGAGAATTTAACCATTCCAGCCAGTTGTTAAATAACAAAATAAAATCTGCAAGATGTTTACTTTAGGTGGAATGCAAACATCATAACAAGCTACTCACTGTGTTGTTAAAGAGTTCATGAGGGCAGAGTCCCATAAGGTAGCTCTTACACACACGGTCATCTGAGAACTTGACTTCATCTTCTGGTCTGGCACCTTAGGAATGCAAAGACAACAAAAATAAAACATAAATACCAAGCAAGTGGAATAAATATTATAATTTTTGGTTTTGAATGGACAAAGTGATGCCCAAAATAAAGTAGAATAAAAGACATGTCTCATAAGAAGAGGACTAGGGTCAAATAGATGATTCCAATCATTGCTTTAACCCTCTCACTTCCAAGATCTCCTTACTGTTTGCCACACAATTCTTACGATGTTAGTTTGGAGAATTTGATACAAGAACAACTGATAGTCCCTTTAATGATATTATTCTTTATTCTTGTCACATTACTGCTTGATATTCTTCTGTTATTAAAGGGAGAAATGCTTTCTTGGGTACTCTTGGGAGTTAGAGGGTTAAGAATACCAGGACACAAAACAAACTTTGGGTGGTCAAAGGTAAACTGATCTAAAACAAGGAACAAATACTCAGTGCAAGATGTGCACATACATGTAGGCTAGATGCCCGTATACTGAAAAAGGGCTGTTTCTTCAGAAGTCAAAATACAAGGTGTGCACTAAGTCCTACACATTGAAGAGTTTTTCACTTCTCTTTTACCCCCAATCCAAAAAAAAATTTCAAAGTGAGTCTTTGTTATCACTGTTGTAGTCAGCACTTAATGGATTATAGGTTTATCAAGGGTAAAAATCTTTCTGAAAATTTTGTTCCAAGCACATCCAGTTCCATGGATTGATTCTTAAAAATTCATGTGTAACATCCTATAGTTATGTTAACTGTATAACTCCCAGCACCATAAATTAATAAAATGGAAATTTTCTGTCCCTACTTACGTCGCCCTACTTACGCATCCAATGACTTGCTCACACTACATGTACATGGCTATCAGTAAGCCTTGTTTGAGAAAGCATTCAATATCTAGTATTAATGGGGAACTGCTTTCACACAACATGGGTAGTTATAACACACAAACACACTTAAACTGTGAACAAGATGTGCCACTGCACAACACACTAAAATTTCATTATTCACTGTTACTGTTTCAGATAACAACACAGAGTGGTTAAACACTCTGTAACGCCAAGTTCCTTCCCATTGATGCATCATAACTCAAAGTTGTTTAGCAATCAATTCATAAGGGACCTTAAGGTAGTTGCTCAAGGTGCTGAACATTTGTAGTGGAAGCCCAGAGATGTTGCAAACATTTCTAACATCTAAATAGCACCAATCTATAAAATTGTTCAAAGTGGTACAATAGACTGGAAATTTTTCCTCAAAAGCTAGAACACAAAGTTGGATTTACTTAAAAAGAGTTCCAAATAATTTTAATATCTGATGTAGCAAAACAAAATATTAGTAATTCTGTTTCCAGAACTTTCCTTTTGAACAGCTGTTCAAGAACAGAAGGTTTCTAACACGCACATAAATTTCCTTCACCACAGTGTTTAACAACTGTGACATTTCCATAACGTCGTGTTTAAACCAATAGTAAAATGACAACATACAATCAGGCGGCTGCTTCTTATTACTCTCTGGATCTTGAAAAAACCTACGAGAAAACCCTTCTTGGTAACACACGTTTCTTAAAGCATGATATTACAGATTAAGCCACTCGTGAAATAATTTAAAGAAAAGGCACCGGCGATGCATTGCAAAAAAAGAGAATGTCAAACTCTGAAAAACTTCTTGTCTCAGAGACAGGTTGAAATCTTTCATATGAGAACGTGGAACTAAGCAAATTCGCATAGATAAAAATATATGAAAGGCAAAAACTCACTCCTCTTGACTGAGCTAGCGTCGACATCACAACAGAGTTCTCTATTTAGTCAGTAAAATAACCAAATCAGAAGAAGAGCTAGTAAAAACACAAGCGTGCTGAATTTCCAAATTGAACGAAAGGAAGACTTATTAAGTTACACAGTTTCACTTTCAAACGACTAATTTTCTACTCACCATCCCTCTGGGTTCCCATAAGTTCGTCCAGCATCTTTTTCATCTGTTCTTGTGCAGTCATTTTGTCTAGATGTGCCCGTCAAAGGCGGAATACGCAGCAGTTCCGACTTGTTCGTTTACTGCACTGTATTCTTGGCCGATCAATGGCGCATTTACGATCACAAGTAACTTAAGCCGACTGTAAGGAATTCTGGGAGTAAATGCATTCTGGGATTGAAGGATCCTCTGGAACGTGGAAATTTCTGAGTCTTTTTGGCGGGAAAGGTTCTTTTCACGTCCTGTTCGAAGATCTGCCTTCCCCCTTTCAGATACATTTAAAAATTGACCGATTAAAGGAAATATCAAAGAAAAACGTCCACCTAAGAAAGGAACAAAGGGAATGGAGAATCAGAAAAGAAAATCTGGAATCGAATACCAGGAATGGACATCGGGAATAATACAAGGAAATGCAAAATAAAGGATAAGTCGGGAATAAACGATGATGACCGAGAAAATAAGGAAGAGGGAAATGGGAGAGGGGTTGTGGTTTGCAATCTTTGACGATAAATATACATCTATTAGTACAAAACCACAAATAACAATCGATGCATGAGCGAAACTCCTTATACGAGATAGCCCTGATCATTACGTGGAGTCAAAGAGGATTTGTCCACATGCTAACTTAATCCACCATGGCAAGTCGGTGCTATAACTTAAACTTTTCTGATAGGGTTTTTTTTTCTTTAGGGAATTTTTGCCTCCCTTTTAAGTGTTTATGAGATCAGAGTCAAAAGAATTTTGCGATGAATCAACCTATACGGCTCGGCTAATAACTAAAGTTCTCTTGTAACATACAAGGTCTTTGATTATGTTTTCATACTCTCGCACACAAGTATCAGCTTCAGCCTCAACCTAGCACCTAACAATCAGCTGGTATACTTTTTCCCCGCGAGACATCATTTGATGGCGTCTGCTTCCTATATTTTCTTTTCAGGAGGGCTCAACAAGCGAGAAGTACTTCGAAGCTGGGTAAAATTATTCAAAACTGTCCGACAAGCATAAAATTGGATAAGCTTTTATGGGAGTTTCTTGAACTTCTAAAAAAAATCTAAAGAAATGCTTTTACAGTAGACTATCGAAAGATTTACTGCTCCGGCTAAGCAGGTCTAGCTAGCAATGGAGTTCTCTTTATAGCAAACCGTCTGGCCGGCTTGGCTGTTTTTAACTAACGAGTGGTTTTCCATTATGCCGGCGATGCAGTCGGACACGTAATGGGAAGAGTAAAGAGTTCAACACGATCTACTGAAAATCAAACAGCAGGAAAGTGAAGTAGCGTACGGCGCTTTGGGCTCGGTTACTTATGATCTAATTAAAACTGGATTATCGAGGTCATAAGTCATCGGATGGCCTGAAAACTGGCACTATGGTTGGCTGGTTCGTCCGCTTCTGCTTGCGACTTCGATAATTCAGTTTTCATTGGATCAGAAGTGTTTCAGTCAAAGTGACAAAGGAAAGAACATGAAAACGTTCTAAATCTGTTGATTTCGATTTTTATTTTATGACGCTGCCAATTTTTTGAAGCATAGCTCACTTAATTTAAGCATTGCGCAGACATTATTTCAAGCTGAATAATTCTCAGAACATCTTTCTGCTTTGAGACAGAAGTGTGAAGTGAGAATGACACCAGCGCTTTGCTCCACGACTTAATCACCTTTCACTACATCGACTGAAGAGAAAATTTAAAATCCTCCTTACAAATGTTTTTCATAAAAAAAAACATAAAAAGGCTATTGTACTAATAATTTACTACATGTCGTCAAAAAGGCTGTTGTACTAATTGTGGTAGTGAAGTGCTATCGCTAGACTCACGATGAGGTCACTTCCAATGTGAATCGCAATCAGGTGGGCTGACTGCGCGTCACCTTATGAAAGACTGACATGATATTTCCACGGAAAATTTCGACTCTTCTTAATACCTGGTTAAATAATAGAAAACGTTACACAGTAGTCTAGTGTTTTCTTCATCCATGATTGAACTTTAAATGCGACAATCACCATGCTATCACGAGGAAGAATTGCTACTGTGTCTTAAAAACTGTTCCTTCCCATCAGTTGGTACGAAATACTCCTTCAATAAGCTTGTTCCTGTTTAAGACGCTCTCCAATCCTTCAACCCCATTTCATCCTTCATCACGCTGACAGCTGGGCAGTTGGGATGTGAAGCTGTAAAAGAAACAGAAAGAAACTTGGTGAAAAATAACGAATTTTGTTTTCGTTTTGTCGTGAGCCCAAAATGAATTGGAAGAGTCGAACCCCTGACCTGCAGATTTCGAGTTCCGATGCTCTACCACTAGGCTGCAGATAACTAAGTGGTAAGCTGAGGTTATGGAGGGTTCAAATGTGACAACAACCTTGCATACTGCTAGGATTAGCATCATCAAAGCACCCATTGTTAATTGGGAATAAGAAAGATGATACCAACCAAGCTTAAAATTACCGTTCGAAAATTATTTCATTACGCACTGAAAACAGTACATCAAATTACCGCAGTGCTACTAACCCTTCTAATTCCGAGAAACCTTAAGTTTTAAACCTGGCTCCATGAGCAAAGAGTGGTACTTGTCGTAAATGAAAGCTAATTCAGTTTGATGATTAAAGAAAATACTTCTCACTTTAAGCCAAACTTAAATTAGAAATTGAACCAGTCTCTCGATATTCTAGTTTTAGCACAGCATAGCCTCTCCCACCATGCTTAACCCTTTAACCCCTAAAAGCGACCAGTTCTTAATTTCTCCTTACAATATCACCCCTAAATCAAACATAAAAGTCATGAGAATCAAGGAAATAATCGCCAACTTATAAAGCTCCTGATTTTTAAACAAATTCTCCTTGTCAGCGCTTCACGAAATGTATAGAGAACAGTATGGAGAATACGCATACTGATGTTATGGTGTAAAGGGTAAATTTACTCTTCAGGATCTAAATGACTTACCCTCTGTCAAGCGTCTTACATCAATTCCTGCCAACGACTGCGCTTACGTCATTGTGGTCATTAACCCCAGAAGAGTCCAAGTCTTTACTTGCCAGGATGTAACACGCATCATTTAGAAGTCCTCCTTTGCTCCAGTTCAACTGAAACAAGTCCATCCCGCTGACTTCTTTGCAAAGTTCTAAAACTGCATTCAAACAGTGGTTCCCCTCCTGTCACAAGGCTAGCAGCGCTTTTTCCTCCACAAGAAATTTAGAACCAGATCCAGTCTCCACCCCCGTCAACGTAGCTATTAAATCTGTACTTATAACCACTGAATTTACAACAAGTGCAACCACAAGCTCTTGTTAGGGTACTCAGTCAGTGTTGAGAATGTTCAAAAGATGTGCTTTTCACGAAGCCAAACTCATTTAAGGTTTTCCATTGCTCTCACTGAACACGTTAACTTCAAGAAAAGTTTTGATTGACGATGTGTTCCTTGACAAAGCTTGACACAATTTGTTTATCCACTCTTCGTATGAATTATTGTAGCTGTTTAGTGTAAGGTTTAATATGGCAAGTGACGTGTTCTGTGCTACAACACTCCCCAGATCACGTATCCAGTCTACACGCTTGTCACTGTGGTTGTTGACTGTAATACTCAGCGTGGTTATCGACGTGCTTAGTGCCAAACCACTTCCCAGTTCGCCCATCCAGTCTCCACTCATGTTACTGTAGTTGTCGAGTGTAATACTCAGCGTGGTTATTGACGTGTTTTGTGCCAAACCCCTCCACAGACCACCCATCCAGTATTCACTAATGTAACTATAGTTGTTGATTGTAATACTCAGCGTGGTTATCGACGTGTTTTGTTTCAAACCACTTCCTAGTTCGCCTATCCAGTTTCCACTCATGTCACAGTAGTTGTTGAATGTTATACTCAACGTGGTTATCGACGTGTTTCGTGCCAAACCTCTATCTAGTTTACCCATCGAGTCTTCACTCATATAACTGTAGTTGTTGAATGTAATACTCAGCATGGTTATCGAAGTGTTTTGTGTCAAACCACTTCCCAGTTCGTCCACCCAGTCTTCAGTCATGTAACTGTAGTTGTTGAATGTGATAAACAGCGTGGTTATCGACGTGTTTTGTCCCATACCTTTTCCCAGATCGCCTCTCAGTTCTTCATTAATGTCACTGTAGTTGTTGACTGTAATACTTAGCGTGGTTATCGACCTATTTTGTGCCAAACCACTGCCCAGTTCGCACTTCCACTCTTCAGTCATGTAACTGTAGTTGTTGACTGTCATACTTAGCGTGGTTATCGACGTGTTCTGTGCCAAACCATCTGCCAGTACGCCCACCCAGTCTTCACTCGTGTGACTGATGTCGTCGAATGTAATACTCAGCGTGGTTATCGACGTATTTTGTGCCAAACCACTCCCCAGTTCGCCCATCCAGTCTCCACTCATGCCACTGTAGTTGTTGACTGTAATACTCAGAGTGGTTATTGACGTGTTTTGTGTGATACCACTTCCCAGTCCGCCCATCCAGTCTCCACTCATGTCACTGCAGTTGTTGAATGTAATACTTAGCTTGGTTATCGTCGTGTTCTGTGCCAAACCACTCCACAGACCACCCACCAGGCCCTTACTTATGCCACCGCGGTTGTTGATTAAGAAGTGTAACGTGGTAAGTGACACGAATTTCGACAAAAAGTCACCAACACTTCGTCCCCAGTCCTCCTCACTTGAGGAAATGGGGCTATCAAAGTTCAGACTCACTTTACTTACACGTGAGCAGATAGTCTCGACGTTTGTAAATGCTGATGTTAATGACGAAGAATCGTCTACAGATAACTCGACCTCTTCGCATATTTCGTCAACTGTCTTCGCGTCACGGACATCTAAAGTAGAGGAAAATTTTTGATTGCATGTTAAGGCTTGAAGAGTACTCTTTCCGTCTCTTGTCACCTCTCCCCTAATGTTCATACACAATGCAGACAGTGAATTGACTTTGTCAAAGTTCTTAACCAAACAGGTAGCAACACCATCTGTTACTCTTCCATGGATATTCAAATTAACACAGGAAACTCTTGACGCCATCACGAGTTTGCATAAATCACTTGCTCCAATGTCACTCAACTCTCCCCACATCTTTACAGTAAGTGAGTGAAGTTTCAACACGCCAAGTTTTTCCTCTAGTAGAACAGGACCAAGACAGGCCACCTGCGAACTTGTTATTTTGCTGACAACATCCGGCTCAATTGTAAGAGACAAAGATGACGTTTTAGCAGTATAGAGAGCTTCACAAATGTTTATCCAGTTCTCGGGGAGTTCTCCGAAAACTTTTAATACCAGTGACCTCAAACCAATATTTCCTAGAACACCCTTCTGCAACGAAATGAAAGCAGAGCAGCTGACTCTTCCATATACAGTCAATGTGAGGAATTTTAAGTACAGATCAGCTGCAAGTCCTTCAGCGACTGAAGCCGCCAGTGAATCGTGCATGTTTCCATAAATTGTGAGGCCAAAAGATTGAAGTGATCTGTTCAGTAACAAATTTTTCAAAGCCACCAGACCACGTTTCCCTACTGAGCCTCTAATCTCCAGTACAACAGATGTCAGCGCTGTATCTCCAGACAATCCTTTTTCAAGAACAGTGGCCCAATCCTCAACTAACTCACCCGGTAGTTTTAAAGTCACGATTTGTAGTGTTTTGTTTGCGGCTAAATTGTCACCAATAGCAACAGCCTTCTCAGAGGAAAAGCGACAATTTGTTTGAAGAGTAAAGGAATGTAAAGATGAGTTCACTTGAAGTGCGTTACCCACAATTAGGCCAGTTATTTCTTCTGAAATACTGAAAACAGAAAAGAAAATAGTTTCTAGCCTAGAGTAAGAGGTTAGAAACTTGTGAACAGAGGGAAGATTCAGTATGCTTTCAAAATACACAGTAAGATGAACAGGCAGTTGTAATTGCGAGAAGCACTTCCAAGCATTTGCAACACTTAGAACACCTTTAAATATATCATTTCCGACGTGACTGATTACTGACTGTGGAAACGGGATAAAGGAACAAAGAGTCATTGCCATTTGTTCTGCATCTCTGCTTTCACTGAAACACTCCGTGAAGAAAGTCGCCTCTTGCTTGGTACAATTTAGCCAGTTCCAGCATTTGACCTTAAGATTCTCGCCAATCTGTCTAAACAGATTACAAGTAGCCTCACCCGGTATGCCAGACACAAAGATAAACACTTGGTTGTATTTTCTTGTGATGTCATCAAAGCTCAACTTCAAATCACGAAAGACATTAATCTTCTCTTCAAGTAGATTGTGTGCCAGATATAATGCCGCCAAGTACTCTTGAAAAGTCTTGTGGAAAAAGTGATATTCGTGCTGAGGGTTAATCTTCTTCGCACTGGCCTCTTTAAATACCAAACCAAGTTTACGAGCTGCCAAAGGTTTCTTTCTTCTTTCAAATTCAGCCAACTCTTCTTCTCGAAACGAAAACCGGTCGTTTTGCAGACCCCTCCAAGCTAACTGCCCCAATGCTAGTAAACTATCTATAAATTGTTCCTCTAGAGCTTTGTCATCAGCAGCGGCTTTTACATTGTTTTTGGCACAATACCTTCGCAAAAGGCAACAAACAATAATGTGATAAAGTTCGGTTCGAGAAGATGGTAGATTCCCTTCATAATCCTCAAAAACAACACAGAGAAGAAGCAGATTCAATGGATTGCTCGGGAGTGCACGTAAGAAGGTGTTTCCTTTGATTGCCTGAATAAGCGATTCTCCTTTTTGTTCATCAACACGATCAAAGTGCTTTCTGATGTATTGGAAAGCGTCTGCTTCCGTGAACCCATTAATTTGAAGAAGAACAGAAAAGTTACTATTCTGTCGCACAAAAATTCCTTTTTCTTGGCGAGAGGTGGCCAATATATAGCAAAACGACCAACGTTGTCTATCTAATAACTCGTTCACGTGGCTTTCAGCCGTTTCGGGAAGTTCATCAAGGCCATCCAAAACGATCAAGATGCTCGGCTGATTATGAATGTCTTCGATGTAATTTATCAGCCTTTTCTTGGTCTTTTTCTTAATATCTTTGGGGAAGAGCTGATCAAAAATTGCTTCGCATATATTCCCACGGATGTCTCGACATTTCAGCAACAGCAGAAGTTTAAAAACTGGGAAAGTAGTTTCATTTGGGATTTTTTTGTTCGCCCAGTCGTGCGAGATTTTAACACAAAAAGTCGTCTTTCCAATTCCAGGGCTTCCTTCCACTAGAACCATGGCATCATCACCTTTGTTTAGAGTGTTAAAGATATCGAACATGTTCACTTCATTGTCTTCCAACTTGAAATCAGTTACTCTTCTTGAGACGATTGATAATCTTGTAAAAACATCGTCCAGACGTAGCCTTAAGGTGTTCTGCCAAGGGAGTGGTTTTAAAAGAGCGCGTCTGTTGTACTCTTTTGTGAGATGTCTCGTTAAGATAAGAAGACCACGATCTACAGGAAATAGATGAAACAAAATGGTAAACTTCCACGCCATTTTCATGTAACTTTTCTTAAGACTGAACCTGCAGTGGAGAACACTTTCAAAACACGTGCGTATAAAATTTGATTACACAGTTTATGCGAGTAATTCATGCATTTAGATTGAACAACACACATGTCGATCAACAGAAAGTAAAGCATTCATCCCTCCAGGTTACTCAAGTAATTTAATGTTTAGCAACTGAGGCTAAAACACCATCACTCAAATGCTTCTATACAATGAACTAAAACCTCATCTTGTACAAATAAACATATTATGGGGTGATATCGAAGAGGAAGTAAAATCTAAGGAAATCGGGGCACACAAATAGACTTTAGTTTTTATTCACTTTGAAAGAGCAAAGAGCTCTAACTGTGAAAAAAAGTATTAATTCTTTCTTACATTACTTCCATACGTTACCTTTTGAGGATTCTTTTACTTATGTTCCTAGGATAGAATTGTCTTCAAGAGTGTTTTTTGCCAAACAGTCGCCAATTGGTCGTTAGTAAAAAACCTTCCTTGTTTCACCATGAAACTCCTACTTAATTAAACTAGCAACAATTCTGATTAATTGAAATAATGGATGTGTGCAACAGGGATGGTAGCGAGGCGATTAATACAAAAAATTATTATAATTATTTGCTAGCAATTCACCTTGAGACAGATGACCTTCCTCAGATGTGAGGTTTTCACGACCTGAAAAGGGTAAACAGATACACAAAGCTAGCCATGATTATGAAATAAACAGCAAAATGCACGAAATTTAAATTGCTTAGGTCCCCATAGAGAAGATGACAGCAAAAGATAGAATGCAAGCTCACTAACAATATCTTTCGACATTTCTCAACAACGAGATAGCACTGATAATTAATTGCAATTCAACTCACTCTGAGTGTGTTTCCTCTGATGACTGAGTTTGTCAGAAGACGAAGGAAATTGTCCATATTCAACAGATAAATCTTGAACACAGCAACCAGAGGAGCCTTCCAAAGCTGAAATTAGACACAATATGACTTTGGCAATTTCTTGTTTCCCACACGACAGGTACATCTGTGCATGTTAAAACAGTGTATTTTCAATCATATTTAGTTTACCACACTCTGAATACTTAAAAGTATTCTCATTTATCCTATAAGTCTAGCACTTTAACAACATAAAGGATTCGGTGACTTTCAGTGTTTTCCTTTACCCTTTGTAGGACTTGTTTAGTGTTTTCCATGATCTAGAATCAAGGTTGTGGTTCAAAATAATGCAAAGGGACAATTTTACCGAGATTCCTTGTTCTGTTCTGATCAGATAACTAAATTTGGTCAATTTTCTTTGACCTCTTTGAACACACAATCCACTCAACTTAAATTACTTTCGGGTTCTGAGGAGAGATATTGATGACTGTCACCACTTTTACTTTTTTCCATGACCCATGCAAACACAGTTTCAAAATTCCACTCGCACTTTAATGAAAGTGGTAAACATATAAAAAACAATCAATTACTAATAGGCTATGCAGTTCTTAAAAATCAAAAACAAATTGTAGTATGAAATGATGTCAAAACTTGTACAATTACCTCCATCATGATGAGTCAACTCTTTTCTGATTCTCTTGGAAGGTTGATCAGTAACAGCTATGGACGATGGCCTCTTATTCCTGACTGGTGTATTTGACCTGATTTCTGATGACCCTAGCAAACCAAATGTATGTGTGCAACATACAACACATTATATTGAATTAGCTATGTTTCCCTATATATGAAGATAAAGTATATCAAAAATGGTTCTTTGGGGCAAACCTTTCTTAAGCTTTCCATAGCACTAAGCACCTAGATATGCTGTACTTTACTCCCAGGTGAAATGCTGGTCCGACTGGAATTAATTTTAAATTCCCAAAAATTATTCCCCCCAACCAAGTGGGGTCCTTCCCACTACACTAGTGCCCATTTATATAAACACATATATATACATATATATATTCATTAGAGCACCCTAACCCACGTCAGACCTCAAGCCCAAACCGTTCATTCTAGAGTTAAGTCTCCCTGTTGAGATCACATGTATTTGATATCTTCCTTGATCACTCCTACAATAATAGCTGGCCAATAAAGAGTCTTGGCCATCATCACTTACTGTCTACAGCATGTACAGGTATATCTGTGCATGTTAGAACAGGGTATTTCACATCATATTTTCACTGTTATCAAATTCAAATACATTGCTATTATAAATGAAAGCTTTTACCAAATGCAAGGTTCTGCATCTTTTCCACTAGGATCTTGCATGGTTTCTCCCAGTCATAAGTTTCTTGATAACAGTCACGGAGAAGCTTTGACTCCTGAAGACGTACTGTCCTACTCTTTTGACATACAGCTTTGATTTCTCTTGCCCAGTCTTTAGGATCTTCAGAGTCTATCACAAAGAATGAGCCAAGGAGCACCTCTCTGAGAGCCTCTCCAAGTCCTGAATTACCACTGACAAGTACAGGAAGACCAGCAGATAACGCTTCGAGACCAGGTAGTCCAAAACCCTCTGTCCTTGATGGCATTATGGCAAGATCCACCTCACAAAATAAGTTGGCCAGCATATCTCTGCTGTCATTAATGCTGCGAAGAATTAGCTGATTACGACTGATACCATGCTGAAGCAATTTGTTTGCTATTTCCTCAGCTTTTTCTCTTTGTGAATAAAGAAACTTCAGTTGGTAGGATGCATCTTTTAATTCAGCAATTGCTTCAGCAGCCATGTTGAACCCCTTAACATTGAAATCTTCACAGCTGTCACCACTTCCGATCACTAACACACAGAATGTTCTCCTTTCATCAGTGGCTTGTACCACATTCAAAAATTCAGAGAAAACACCTGGGGTGAGATCTAAAATGGTTTTCTCTTCTTTAGCAGAACAAAGGAAGCGTTTGTAGGCCTCTGCCACTTTGGGTCCTATTGCTACAACCTCATCAGCCATCTTACAGAGTTTTACTTCTGTTTGCTGGAGACGTTGGCCTTCTGTAATGTTCTTGAACATTCCCACTTCTTCATGAACACTGTGAACAACTTGAATCCATCTACAGTCTGTATTCCTCTTTATGAGTGGAATTTGTTTGCCAAGATGCACTCCATGTCCTATAACACAGTCTACATCATGATCTCTGGGTAAAGATGACAATGAAAAGAGTGGTTCGTAGCCGGGCAGTTCACCTGCTTCAACAAGCTGAATTTTGTGACTCGCAGCATTTCTCTTGTCCTCTTCACTGCACTCAGGAAGAAACACACTAACTTCCACATTGGGATGCTTAGCTAACTGTATAGCAAGCTCTCTGCTAATAGTTGAAACTTCTCTATCAGTTGATGATCTCCACTCACCACTCAGCAAAGTGACTTTCAGTCTCCTGTTCTGCTGACCTTCCTGTAATGAAGAGGCTTCACTTGGAGTGGCCAAATTCTTCAAGGGCAAAAGAGCACAGATTTAGAATTGCTCTCTTTATTTCAATAATAAAATATATTTCACATTTAGAAATAAAAGTTATAATATAACATATTTTTGTCATGTGTGAAGTAACTATGGCCAAGAGAACATGAAGAGAAAATAGAAAAGCACATGGTCAGCTTGTTTGTGTGCAATTCATGGTTGTTCATCAGTTATTTACCAAGCAAAGGAGCACAACATTGGTGACGAGGATAAGCATGGAATTCACAAAGCATAAGCACAGTACAAGATGTCTTTGAACAAGTTTCAAAGGCAATTCCCAAGTTTGATTGTCATTTGGAGCCTGCTATGTTGGGACCACAATGGAATTATTTGCAGATGGTAAAGGTCTAATTATTGATGGAGGTAAAAACGCAACCACAAGATAATGAAGAAGAGCTATGCTACTGATCCATTTAACAGGCCCAGATGTCCAAGAAATCTTAGATCTAAACTTGTGAACACTGGCAAAGTAAACAAATGTGTCTACAGCTGTTACAGCATTGAATGGATATTTTCTTCCCAAAGTCAACTCACCTTTTGCTCATCAGAAATTTCACCAACTCCAACAAAAGGAAGGTGAGACTGTTTTCCAGTTTGTAACTGGATAAAGAAAAGAAGGAAAGGATTTTAGTTTTGGTGAAAACTTTGACAACCAGATAAGAGACCTTGTACTGTGCAAATTTAGGTCAGACTTTGTAAACCACAAATTGTTTGAAGGAAGGCAAGAGCTAACCCTCACTTGTATGTTAGAACTCCCAGAACAGAGTGAAAGGGCAGAGTATCTCATCTCAGTGTAAGTAAGCAGGGTACAGAAGATGCAAACAGGGTTCATGAAAAACCTGGCAGACCTGATGGTAAACAAAAAAGTAAAGGAAACAAACAAGAAAAACATTGCAATAGTTGTGGGTTCAGTGGGCACCTGGGTGGAGATCCAGACTGCCTTGCTAGAAGTCAGATTTGTAGGAAGTGTATAGGAAAAGATCATTTTGCTAGTGTCTGCAAAATCAAACCAAAAAATCTTGGGGTTAATCAAGTACAAAAAGAATAGGGATCAAGTTGATTAACTGATTTCAGAATAAGTAATGAGGTACACTGAAATCTGCTTAAGTTGTCTGTGGGTGGGGTAGAATTAGAGATGTTGGTGGATTCTGAGGCCACCAATAACACTGATGATGAAAAAAACCAGAGAAAATTTGAAAGCTTCGAAGATCAAGAGTAAATCTGAAGCTGCCCCTGTTGACAAGAAACTATAAGTAAACATGCTTATACATCCAACAAGCCCCTTGAAGAAAAGGGCTGTTTTATGTGTGAAGTCTTGGTTGGCAAACAGAGAACTCAACAGAGAACTGCAACAATAAGTCCTAGAGGTGTTTATTGAGATTTGAAAGCTGAAGTCTAAACAAGTGACATTACACAAAGACAGCGAGACCAGTAGCACACTGCTGAGGGTAACTACCTCAATTTGCAAAGTGGGAAGGAAATTTCAAGATCTATTAGACTATGACATCATAAAAGAAGTTGACAATCCTACACCAGTAAAACCAGTAGTAATTATTCCAAAGATGGATGGTGACATTTGGCTCTGCAGAGATGGGCATGGTTACCAACAGAAGATGGGCTGTCACACAACAGAAATGGCTCCAAGGTTTTTTGCAAGCTATTAATCAGCATCAAAGTTAGCTGACAAATTGTGTTTGTGGAGTTCTATTTATGTGTAAAAGGACACTCCTGTCATTATCACACACTGAATCATTGACAGGATCCCCCTTCCCCCAGTCAATGTTGCCTGTATGTAGCTAGAGGTTTGTGGAATCAGGATACAACATTTTTTTGGGGGGGGAGGGGGGCAAATAGCTTGACTCAACAAGGCAGCTAAAGCAGAACATGACTGTAGCAGGAACATTTCCATGCCTTGATGAGAATGCATCAACCGGAGGTTGTCATAGATATGAGTCTTGCTGGCCCCAGAGCCAAATGTTAATCAAAATGCAAATGATGTGTGGGTACCCATTTGTTGAGCAAGCCACAGCCTCAGAGTGTGAATATCAATACTTCCAGACTGAGATAGAAACCCTTGCCCTTTTTGGGCCTTCAAGAAGTACCATGCTTACATGTAGATTTTTATGAAATTAAATTTGATCTGGCTACTGTTAACAAACTGGAAGTGATCCATGGCCCCTGCTCCAAATCCTGTTCCTACATTGATTGTTGGGTAATCCACCTACAACCTTAGCCGACCTTCTTTAACATTTGCTGAGTCAGAACAAAGCCACAAATCATCAACACATAGCAAAAGAGTATATTCAATTTGCAGCCGTCAGCACTACACCACAAGAGAAATTGAAGAAGTATCTGCAATGGATGAACAGTTAAAAGCTCTGAGAGAGGCAAATAAAACTGTAAGTTTGATTTGATAAATGTCAGGCTTATGCACCAGCTGCTTGTGAGCTGTGTATGATCAGTGAATAGTCTCATGAGGTACCCGTATTGTGCTAACCAGCAAGCTAAGGTCCCGAACCATTGCCTTAGCTCATAAAGGACACTTACATGTTGCAATTGCTAGAACAAAAAAAATTTGAGAAGCAAAGTATGGTAGCCTTCTGTGGATGAGGCAGCAGAAAAATTCTGCAAATCTTGTTATGAATATTAACTGCATTGCCCAAGCTGTAGCAGTTGACTGGATGAAGGATAAAGAAGATATGTGAGTATGTAGTGAGGTATTGATCAGCTGAAATTCCTGAGAAATATTGATTAACCCTTAAACTCCCAAGATCTGATTGACAATTCTCTCCTCTTGCTGCTACACAATTCCTTGTAAATAAGTTACAAGAATTTGATGTAAGATCAAGATAGAAACTTCTTCCTGATAAGTTTGAGTATTCTCATTAACCATTTGCCAGAAAACATATAGATATCTTAGGGAGAAGTTACATGTTAGTCACTTCTTGAAGTCAAAGAGTTAAAAAGAAGATGAGAGCTAAAATTGCTGGAGCTACCTGCTGATTGCCACATACAGACTTGTTAGGGTAAAAGAAAAGACCAAAGTATATACAGATAAGGCTAAAAACACAAAACAATCTGATATTCAAGTTGGCAATCGAGTGCTAGTGAAAGACAAAATGACAAATTCTCCACACCATTCAATCCAATGTAATCCCAAGTGGTTAGTAAGACTGGCAACAGTGTCATTATAGAAACTTCAAGTGGGACCCAAAACGCAAAAAATGCTTCCCATGTAGAGAAATTTGGGATAGATGATCCTGCATCTACATTTGAAACACAATCTGTCAGCCAGACGAAATTAGAGCACCTAAAAAACCAGGTTGAGCTGCGAGTGAATTAATACCCATGACATGCACCACTCTGCTACATGAACCTCCTTCAAGGAGTACCCCATAAACACAAGCATATAGAATGGAAACAAGGCAGTTCCTATCTGTTCAGATCTTGCAATTGATGGAGCAACAGTGAATGGCATGCAAGCAACACCAAGCTGTGAAAGACCTCAGAGATAGAGGAGGCTGCTGAGAGATACAGGTACAAGGAGAGATACAGGTACAAGGAGAGATAGAGGTACAAGGAGAGATACAGGTACAAGGAGAGATACAGGTACAAGGAGAGATACAGGTACAAGGAGAGATACAGGTACAAAGAGAGATACAGGTACAAAGAGAGATACAGGTACAAAGAGAGATACAGATACAAAGAGAGATACAGGTACAAAGAGAGATACAGATACAAAGAGAGATACAGGTACAAAGAGAGATACAGGTACAAAGAGAGATACAGATACAAAGAGAGATACAGGTACAAAGAGAGATACAGGTACAAAGAGAGATACAGATACAAAGAGAGATACAGGTACAAAGAGAGATACAGATACAAAGAGAGATACAGATACAAAGAGAGATACAGGTACAAAGAGAGATACAGGTACAAAGAGAGATACAGGTACAAAGAGAGATACAGATACAAAGAGAGATACAGGTACAAAGAGAGATACAGGTACAAAGAGAGATACAGGTACAAGGAGAGATACAGGTAAAAAGAGAGATACAGGTACAAAGAGAGACACAGGTACAAAGAGAGACACAGGTACAAAGAGAGATACAGGTAGATACAGGTACAAAGAGAGACAGATACAAAGAGAGATACAGATACAAAGAGAGATACAGGTACAAAGAGAGATACAGGTACAAAGAGAGATACAGGTACAAAGAGAGATACAGGTACAAAGAGAGATACAGGTACAAAGAGAGATACAGGTACAAAGAGAGATACAGGTACAAAGAGAGATACAGGTACAAAGAGAGATACAGGTACAAGGAGAGATACAGGTACAAAGAGAGATACAGGTACAAAGAGAGATACAGGTACAAAGAGAGATACAGGTACAAAGAGAGATACAGGTACAAGGAGAGATACAGGTACAAAGAGAGATACAGGTACAAAGAGAGATACAGGTACAAAGAGAGATACAGGTACAAAGAGAGATACAGGTACAAAGAGAGATACAGGTACAAAAAGAGAGATACAGGTACAAAGAGAGATACAGGTACAAAGGAGAGATACAGGTACAAAGGAGAGATACAGGTACAAAGAGAGATACAGGTACAAGGAGAGAGATACAGGTACAAACAGGTACAAAGAGAGATACAGGTACAAAGAGAGATACAGGTACAAGGAGAGATACAGGTACAAGGAGAGATACAGGTACAAAGAGAGATACAGGTACAAGGAGAGATACAGGTACAAAGAGAGATACAGGTACAAGGAGAGATACAGGTACAAGGAGAGATACAGGTACAAAGAGAGATACAGGTACAAGGAGAGATACAGGTACAAGGAGAGATACAGGTACAAGGAGAGATACAGGTACAAGGAGAGATACAGGTACAAGGAGAGATACAGGTACAAAGAGAGATACAGGTACAAGGAGAGATACAGGTACAAAGAGAGATACAGGTACAAAGAGAGATACAGGTACAAGGAGA